TTGTTCACTTGGGACTGCTTGGAGTAACTATAAAATTGTTATTTTATTGTTTTATTCGGTGCTAAGCGCTATCTTAAGTGTTTTTAAACAAAAGTCTCTAGAGTACGTTTTCGTATTTTCACGCCTTTGTTGATGCTTGGTGCAATAAATAAAAAAAGATAAGTTTTAAATTAAATAAGAGCGCACACCTTGGGAATACGCAGTTTTGATTGTGGTGGGTATCACTTTTGTATTTTGCCATTTTCGCATTTGTCATTGTGATGGCAATCACTTTTGAATTGATTTGTTTTGGGACGGCTTTGTTTGCGGCACCTTTGGTTTTGTGCGCATCGTGGAAGCGCAGCGTAGCATGTGTATATATTGGCTTCAAGAAACGACAATAAACAGTTGGTAGTCTGCACTCTTTCCTGTCCCCCTTGTTTTCCTTCAAGTTTGTGCAGCAAATCAATTTTTCAAATATGAACCAACTGGTCTGCAAAAAAGTATTGCTTCATAGACCTACCGTATCTTTTCCTCTGGGTCAGTCATTCTCCAAAGCTTGCACAGCTTGTTTAGTGCTGAGAATTCGACTTTGATGCTGTACACCTTGGTCACCTTGTCAAGTTGTGCAAAAGCTTGTGCTTATAAGGTATCACGGCTACTTTCTGCCTGAGCTGTGTGCTGGCATCACAACATGGCTACAAAGATGTGTTATGTAACTGTTACAGCGCAACATTCTCTAACACTATTTACTAGTCCATGACTGGTAGGGTCAGGTTTGCGTGACCGGTGTTCGTGTTCGGACCAGTCACTAGGACATGTTAGTATAAGAAAATATTTTATGTAAAAGTATTTACACGGTATTAATATAAGTAAAGGCACCCGTGTTCTTCGGTGTGCCGAATAAATGAAATAACAATGTTGGGGCTACTCTCTCTCAATCCACTCCATGCGGCGGCCGGGATTCTACTACCGTAATTACTCGAATCTAACGCGCACCTTTTTTCCGGTTAAGCGAGTTCATAAATCGCATGCGCGTTAGAATCGAGTACGAACAAAAATTACGGTCAATCTATTGCCATCGGCAAATCCAAAATGGCCGCCCCCTATGTGCGTCGGCATGGCGCGTTGGCCATTTCTGCCTATGTGTTTCCCATGTGCGGCACTTCGTACGTGTGCTGAGGAGTTCGTCATCTAGTAGTGCATTAGCATCGACAGTGTGGAAGGGCCGACTCCAAAAACTTGAGTGCACCACGATGCCGCTTTTAAAAGAAAAGTCATCGCGTGTGCAGAAACGGACGGAAATCGGGCCGCATCGCGGTCGTTCGCAGTTCCCGAAACGTGCGTGCGGGACCGGCGGAAACAAAAGCAGGAGATTGTCAACAGCAAAGCTTCACGCAAAGGCTTCAGTGGACTACAGCAGGGTCGGTTTCCGCAAATTAAAGAGCTGCTCGGCGAGTATGTGCTTGAGCAGCGAGCGGCACAGCGGCCCGTGACGACAGAACTGCTCCAAGTGCGGGCTATGCAATTAGTCTTAGAAAACGGTCTAATGCGGAGCCAGTTTAAAGCGAGCAGGTGCTGGCTAACTAACTTTATGAAGAGGAAAGGCTTTTTCCTCCGAAGGGGAACATGCATATGTGAAAAGTTTTGCGGAGGAGTACGATGAAAAGCTTCACAGTTTTCAGAGGTTCGTCCTAAACTTGCGGCGCAACAACGTCTACCTGCTTGGGCAAATCGGGAATGCCGATCAGACGCCTCTTTACTTCGACATGCCTGGCACCACAACCGTCGAGAAGAAGGGGGCGAAGCAAGTTCGCGTGCTGACATCGGTCCACGGTAAAACTACAGTGACGGCAATGCTCTGTTACACGTCAGATGGGCACAAGCTTCGCCCGTACCTCATATTTAAATAGAAGACGCTCCCGAAAGGAGTCGTTTTTTCGAGTGGTGTGATCGTGCGGGCCAGCGAGAAAAATGGGTGCGCGTTGCAATCGGTGTCTTACGTTTTTTTTTTTTTTTTTTTTTCGCGGTGGAAATCGGGTGCGCGTTACAATCGAGGGCGCGGTAGAATCGAGTAAATACGGTAATCCTGTAGCACTGACAGGTGCTTAATGAAGAGTGCACGCCCACCTCAAAGCCAACATCCACTTGACAAAGAAGCAGTTAGAGGTTGACATTTTGAATGAACCTTTTGGCCGATTGATGGCTAGCTGATCTCACTTAGTTGCACTGGTTTCCATTGCGTCGCAGAGGCAACGCCACTAGCTGGGCTTTAGGTGCCACAGGTGTGCGAAGCATTCCTCTTCCATGCCATAATGTTCTTCAGTCACTATGCCATAATGTTCTTCAGTCACTAAAAATCAGAGTTAAAAACTGCGCAATGCCAAAATCTGTGATATGGTTCAACAGGGAGGGGCTGAGCCCTTCCACAACATTTTTATCACTGAGATTTAATTTTACTTTCACTTTTGCAATGTGTTCAGCCATTCATTACTAGCCCTAGTGGTCGGACACAATGGCAACAGTTCCATTATGACATTCAGAAAATGCTTTCCCGGTTCATTCCTTATTCGCAAACTAATCATGGTTTGAGAAGACTTGAACACTGTATTCCTGCTTGTTTTAACATGTTTGAAAATAAAAACATTTACATCTTTAACATGCATAAAATACAACTTAAGATGTTTTTCATTCAGAATGGCGGCGTGTAGTTTAGCTTCTTCTAATTGTCTGGCTAAAATACTATAAGTAAAAAAAAACAACCTATATATGTGTAACATGGTATCCTATGATGTTTGATTTCTTTGCCATTTTTGTAGCGTTAGCTACACTGGCCTCGCTGAGCCAATTTCGCGTGGCACTTGTCTGCGCAAACGCCATAATACTCCGCTGCCGCCGCGCGCGGCTCGCCGCCGGTGTGGGCGCAAATCAATGCGCTGCGCAGACGATCAGTGGTGTCACGCACCGGAGCCGGCACCTCCCTCGCACTCGGCCGCGGCCGCCCGCGACTCGCCGCCGCCGGTGTGCGCTTTCCAGAGGAGTGCCGTCATAGCCTTTGTAGACATATGGACGCCGACGCGCGCGCCTTCCCTGTGCAGTCGCCATCTGACACTGCGCTGGAGCCGCTTGATAGCCCCTCTGACTGGCGTTTGCCACTGTGGTATAGCCATGGAGAAGGAGAGTGCAAATGCTGCTCAATGGTGCAGTAGAGTGGAGAAGCTTAACTCATCGGATCCCGAAGTAGTTACCCGGCAAAGTAAATATACGTGTGTCATTGCAGCAGCAGTAAGCATGATAATCAAGCTAATCCTAGACACTCTGGAAAGCTAAGAATAAACAGCTGAACCTTTGCTAATGCTACGTATATCCTGGCATAGCTGAGCTAAGCGACTGCCATTTTTTTCATTGCTTTTTTTTACGTGTAAAACATGTAACATTTCACTCGTCAGTGTTTCCCTTGTGCATCAAACTTGTGCTTTTCACATACCCAGTGTTGTAAACGTCTTATAATCATTTTATAATACTTTGTTAGCCGTTTAGCAACGTGTGCATTGTTTTATGATTGACCGTACACTGTTTTCTTGTTTTATTTGTTGTTTTTTACTCTTTGTGGTTTGCTTATTTTATGTAAACCTGAAACTAATGTAATTTTGATGCCTTTTCTTTTTATTTCCTAATTTCTTGAAGTTGTGAAAATCGACGTCAAATTGTTTTTTCATGTTTGTGCTCTGCAGATTTGTAATGCCAAGTGAAAAGGGGTAGGGGCCTCTTCAAGCTGCTAACATAGCAGCTCTTTGCTCTTATCCTTGCGTTTTCTTTCCGCAACTCTGTGATGAAAATGCTCAATAAAACTGAAACTGAAAACTTTTGCTAGTAGGGAGGGGCTCCACCACCCCCTGCCACCCTGATTCTGGGGCCCTTGCACATACCAATCTTTCAGGTTTCCTGGTTATTCGAGTTTCGGATGATACGAACATTTATTGTCTTCCCACAACATTTTTATCACTGAGATTTAATTTTACTTTCACTTTTGCAATGTGTTCAGCCATTCATTACTAGCCCTACTGGTCGGACATTAGGGCAACAGTTCTGCAATACTGCTATAAGATCTTAACGCATCTGACGAACATCTCTTGAAAGTATCGCCAAAAGGCATCACTTGTCATTATGCCCGTACATTTATCAATACTAGGCATTAGTAAACGAACCAAGTGATTTTGCATGATTTCTTCCAAGTGTTAGCATTGAAATAAAATTCTGTGCACTTGGTCCAGTTTTTCATTAACTTTGTTTTTCAAATCTCTTGCATTTCCCGGCTTTAAGGTTTAATTCTTGCGGTCCCTTCGCAAATGTATCACTAGGTTTTACTCTAATAACTTTGTCATAAAACACAATTACTACACAAGCTTCCTTCGGTGATGCATGAACATTGTGGCAGAACAGCGCAGACAACAGGATAAAAAACAAACAATACAGGACACAGTGCTGCTAATAAACTGGTTTCATTTTGATGAACCTCATCTGAATCAATAGTTATGCCATGTCACTTGATAACATTTGCGCCATTTTTCTATTTTGGGTCACCTATACTTTCTGCCATAAAGAAACCGGTTAATAGCAGCGCTTAGTCCTCCGTGTTCTTTCTCATATTGTCTGTGCTCTTCTGTCCCATTAAGGTGCAATAATCGATTAGGCTGAGTTACATGGGCATTTCTCACAGATGACAACATTCAATGCACAACAAGTATCACCCAGTTTAAAAATGATGCTGCTATTGAAATCTGGTACAGAACCACTACACTACAAACAATCCCAATTTACATTGGGATTGTTTCAAAGAAACCTCAACTTATCGTGCAAAGACCAATTTTAAGACTGAAGTAAGCCAAGTTTTATCTCATTAAAATGTTTTCAAAAAAATTTCGCTAACGTCACAACACACATGGCAATGAAACACATCAATCTAACATCCAAAGTGCTTTGGGTGTGGCCTTTGCTACAGTGCAATAATAGATGCTCACCAAGTTCACTGTGCGGCCACATTCCCGAAGCACTTGCACAGCAGTCGCATAGTCCACATTCTCCAGCGACAGCCCATTGGCACTGACTACCCGATCGTTGATTCTGAAAAGAGAAAACACCTACCTTATCTAAAGAAAATAAAATGATTGATTGATTGATTGAAATGAAAAAGCATAGAAGCACTGTGGAGCTCGAGCCATTGTCTACACCAGTACATGTATTCAACTAGCTCAAACACTACAAGCAGCGCTGCTCATAACTGGGGCTCCATGTTTTCGGATAAATCAGAAAAAAAAAACTAGGCAAACACTCACCAGTGAAATTTTTGACAATTGATATTTACCTGATAAACTCCAACTTTAGAAGCATTTCTCACATTCAAAAGACATTTTCAAAGTTTAGAATTATCAATCGAAAGAAGTGCACCTCCATAAGCGGCAGCAACTTCGTAATATGTGCATATCACAAGCTTTAAGCTTGTTATACCAACAAATGAAGGCATTTTGTATTTAAGTACTCGATATCACACGAATGCATGGAAGTGTGCTTGCGCACGGCACACAGGGCACACCGAAGATGTATGTATTTGAGATACTATTTTAAAAACTCTCTGGTTACCTTGTATCCGTATCATGATATGTCTTGCAGGACAATTATCTGTATTTGTATTTGTGTTGAATTCAACAATGTATCGTGTATCTTGACTCTTTCGTTACCGCGCAAAAATGGTTGTTTTTTATATGCCTTGAGGAAGATTGTTTTTGCCAGTTTGAAAGTATTCCAGAACGCATTGCACCACATCAAACTTTGCACAATGAAACGCTCTTTCCAATAAATATATGTTGTAAAGCAACAAAAATATTTTAGAATGAATAAAAATGTGAAAATTGTGGAATTTTCGGTTGCCAGTTGGTAAACAGTGCAATAAAAAAACACTATAAGTGTGAAAATACTCACAACGAAAAAATTCAGAATATACACTTTGTAGATAAATGACCCAGGAACAGTATAAAAATAATGAATGTTGTAAGAAATGTTTCTCTTCACATAGACAACAAAAAACAGAACCGAGGTGCCGCTTTGTTCCTCGTGCCATGCGGTGAAGCATTGCATGATTTTCCGTGAGACGCAAGTGTACTCGTACACTCTTCTCGGTAAATTCTCATTGCCTTGTGATAAGAGTCTCCAAGTGTTCCAACATAGATGGAAACCCGTGAAGTAAATAATCCCTTAATAAATGAGATGTCCAATGAACTTCGCTATTTCATGAAGTGTCACCTCTTTCCATGAGCCACCTCACCACGCATAAGTTGGCGTTCCATTATATGCATCCAAGCATATTTCTTTTCATTTTTGCACATATCATATTAAAAAAAAAAGGTAATCTCACGTGCAGTTCTAAAACCTTTCTCAATGCTTCATAGTCAGGGCCAAGAAGTGCTCTAGGGGCCTTCTTGTCGTTAGGAGAAGCTATGAAGCCAGTGCCAGCACGCCGCGCCCTAACGGAGTGTGGACCACGCATGTAACCAGAGTATACCTATAATATTGCGCACAAAGGTCAGAAGCTATACGCACTAGCAGCGGAGGAGACAACTTGAGGATGTAAAAAAAATAAACGCATGAACAGCCGCAGATGTCTCAGGCTGACACAAAACATCATCGCCATAAAACTTGAAGTTGAGGTGCTGTCATCTTTGAACTCTAAGCTCCTCCTCCCTCAATTCAGGTGGGGTTGCAAGACAATTTCGAGCAGCACATGTGTTTTGCAGCGCTAGTGCGCACCCATGCACGCGTGACAACGACGTCATAGAAGCAACTAGTGAAACTAGATGCGATCCTGTGTCAGATATAACAATGCAAGCAAAACAAAAACAACTGGAAACTGTTAGATAAGGCCACCTAGACACTTTAAATGCACAGCAGACCTTCGTAATTATTTCTTGTAGAAAACATTTTCTCTGACTCCTAGGAACAGCTCTCTCTTGAATAGGTGGCATAAATTTCTGGCCATTATTACAGCTCAAGATAGTCAAATTGCAAAGCTGACACTTTAATTCAATGTTTGGCTTGCAAAGATTCTTTTCATTACAGAACTTTGATGTTACCGTAGCATAATCATGAGGAGCATGCACTTCTATCAATTTCGTGAACCTAGTGCACTTCTCCAACAATACACACACATTGATCTGCGCAAAAGATTGGTAAAAATCACTATGTTGCCAAAACCGACAAATTCAAGCTGATTTTGAAAATTGAGTAGCTGGACTAATTACTAGAAAGTGCTGGGTGCATGAGAAACAAATTTACCATGCCATAAACGACGATCTAAAAGCGTCGATCACCGGTGATCGATTATAATAGGCATGGTAATGAAAGAGTTAAGGTACTACGGTCACAACGATATACCGTGTGAAACATTAATCACCGACTGAACTACAATGCTCAGGCAGCTAATAGTGTTACTAAGCCACCTTAATGAAACTATGGGCAGTGACGTCATTTTATCTTTTCATCACACTCCACCAGTCAGGGGAGGCGATGAAGTGTGCGTGCCTCTTTTGGTGAAGCAGAGCAACATGAGAGGGTTCGCACAGTTTCAACAGACACCACGTTTCTCTGCTTGCCCACATGTTTTTTGTTTTGAAGAATTCTTCCCTTTTTAGTTTCATTTGTGCCATGACACTTAGCCTTAGCCACTTGCAAGCACTGCACACCCCAATGCGTGGAGCAATGACCGCACGCATCCTGGTACACGGCCCCAGCCTCGAACTATAGTACCACCGGTACTGATGCTATATCTAACAGAAAAAGCACCTATCAGATGATATCTTGGCTTATCAAGTTGTTTTCTTTCCGCTGTTTCTGTTCAAAGAGCTCTTGAAATCATATGATTGTCAGCACAAGTGCATTCTCAGTTGTCCTTCTCCCTCATCCCACACATAACCTAGTGCTTTGAACTATTCTCTTTTTGGGTTCCGTGAATTCGATATGCCTTTGGTGAAGTACAGTGAAATTAAGCTCTCTGTTTCATTCTTGCATTTAGTCGTCTGCTCTATTTTTGCTACTACTTACACATTCACTTGTGTTTACTCTTTTGCCAAGGCGATTTGGGCGACAAATAGGTCATTATAGGCCGTGCATTGAGTATACAGCACCAAACACTCTGCTTACTGCTTAGTAAAAGGACCCCATTGAGTTTGCATCGTAATAATAGAAATAACAAGAAGCCATTTTAAAGATCATAGAGAAAGGATTTGAGAAACATGGTTATGTCAAATGCAGTGATGGAAGCAACATTTTGATTTTGGGAGCAGATTCTGGAGCAGAAAAAATGGTGCTTTGAAGGAGGCTCCAGTGTCTTTGGAGCAGAGAAAAATGCTATAGCTTAAGACTGCTATTGATGTTTTCGGAGCAGATGCATGTTGCTAATGACTCCTGAAGTCTAAAACATCACTTAAGCATCTAATAAATATTTATATTTATTATTAAGCATGCCGTACGATAGTATGCAGCTCGTGTACAAGCTGTATAGTAGGCGTAGATCAGGGGTGGGGTGGATAATCAAGAGAGTCCGGACTTTTCCGGTGTTCAGGCTGGGGACGACTACCCTTGCAAGTGTCCCACTCGGGGTATAGCTTTAGCGCGTGATATAATTGAGTTATCAGTTAAGTATAGTGCAATAAGCTTTTTAAAGGGCTTTTTTTATCTTTTACAGCGTACCTCTGTTAGATGCCCCTCAGCTGTGTGAAATATGGGAATCGCAAAAAATGTGAAGAAAAAAAAAGAGACTGAATAGAACACTGCAATTGCTTGAGCTCAGACTGCAGGCTCGTTTATTAAAGTCTATTGACAGCATGAATTCTTACATAAATAAAAAACAAGCCCATATTAAAAATACGAATTGACCACCGTGGCCTAATATGAGTCACCCCTTGCAATATTTCTGGATTTACGCCACTGAGTAGCATAGCAAGATAATACTGTATACAGCTTGCATTTAGTTTTGCTTATGCTCAGTTGCCCACACCATTTCGGAGCAGGTTTGGAGCAGTTACTAGCAAATATTGCACTATGCAGTGGCATGGAGCAACATTTCTCTTTTGGAGCAGTTTAGAGCAATTGGAGCAGCACCAGCATCACTGCAAATGGTCCATTCTTATGTAAACATTTCGACGAGTCATTTAATATGATTTTGCATTGGCACTGATTTTTTTATTAGATTACTAACAGGTAAGATGACGACACTTCATGCTTAATTACCATAGCTATCAGGAGTGCAACCTGCATAGTTTATCTCAACTTATTCACCATGAATGCTTGAAACAGAATGGCTTTTCTTTTTAGTTAGAATTTCTTTCCTTTTCTTAATCCTCACATTTTCTTAAACTGTTACTAGGTAATTGCCAAGTAATCGTCGCTACAGGCCGCAATGACGTGAATCTCTAGCAACATTGTCTCGCGAGGATTTGTGCAAAATGACGCCACACACTCTATTTTTTTTTTTTTTTTTTGCTATCTAGGTGTGATTGGGTCCAAGTCACTAAATGACTTATGAACTCTCGCACAAGCCGCTCACAATGCTATGTAAGCTTCGCGATTATTTCAGAATGTGCTGCTAAGCTTAGACACAAATCCTGCTTCCGCGGCCGCATGTAAACTGAGGGGAAATGCTAAAGGTGCATGTACTTAGATTCGATTTCTTGTTAAAGAGCACCACATGGTCAAAATTTTCAGCGCCTTGCACTTGTGGGGTCTTCATAATCATATCGTAGCTTTAGGACGTATAAAGTAAACAATTATTATTTATATCAAATTCGCAACCTTGCACACGCACCAGGGAAAAAACTGGAAGGTGTAATCGCTGCTGTATAAATACAAAACACGTTCTGCCGATGATCAGATTAGACAGGCCTAGGCAACTTATTGCCGCTATCCAATGATGATTTATATGTAGGGTTTAACGTCCCAAAACAACCATATGATAACGAGAGACACCGTAGTGAAGGGCTCCAGAAATTTTGACCACCTGGGTGGTCTTTAGCGTGCACCCAAATCTGAGCACATGGGCCAAAAACATTTCCACCTTCATCAGAAATGCAGCC